GGACCCCGCGAAGGGGACGGGAGCTGGAGGGGACGAGTGGAGCCTGGATGTGACGCAGCTTCCCTGTCGGGGGGTGGGGGGCTCTGAGCGCCCCCCCGGGCCCACAGCCCTGCCGGGCCCATGGGGGGGCTCCGGGCCCATGGGGGGGGCTCCGGGCGGGTTTTGTACCCTCGGGACCGACTCTGCACAGCAATAAATGGTCCAGCCTCGCTCGGTGGCTCTGCTGCTTCTGGGGGGCTCCTGGTGGCCTGTTGCATCCTGATGGATTGTGGCGGGGGGGACAGGATGCAGGGGGCCAAAATTTAGTGGGATTTAGTGGGATTTGGTGGGTTCCCCCCCCCTGCACCCCACTGGGCTTCGAAGCGGCAGCTGGGGGGACCCGGGAGCCCTGGGCGGTCGGGGAGGGGGCGGCTGTTTTCCTGCRTGGGGAGGGAATTTGCTTATATAATAACCCCCCCGCGCCAGCCCGGGCTGTCCCCGTGCCCGGGGTGGCCCCGGTGCCAGCGCCCAGATTAGCTGTTCCCTCCCGGCCGGATCTCGCTGTCCCTGGGCCCCCGCCAGCCGCCGTGCCCGGCCCGAGCCCGTGCCTGCCCTGCGCCGCATCCCGGGCCGTGTCCTGGTCCCCGTGCCATCCCTGTCCCCATCCTTGTCCCATCCTGGTCCCCATCCCATCCCTGTCCCCATCTTCCATCCCGGGCTGTGTCCTGGTCCCCGTGCCATCCCTGTCCCCATCCTTGTCCCATCCTGGTCCCCATCCCATCCCTGTCCCCATCCTCCTCCCATCCCAGGCCATGTCCTGGTCCCCGTCCCATTGATATCTCCATCCTTGTCCCATCCCAGGCCTCATCCTGGTCCCTATCCCATTCCTGTCCCCATCCTTGTCCCATCCTGGGCCTTATCCTGGTCCCTGTCCCATTGATATCTCCATCCTCCTCCCATCCCMGGCCTTGTCCTGGTCCCCRTCCCATCCCTGTCCYCATCCTCCTCCCATCCCGCTCYTTTYCCATGTGCCCGTCCCCATGTGGGTCCCTGTCCCGGTCCYCATCCCCAGCCCACGGGCTGGCACCTTCAGCCCRTCGCCGAATCCGTCCCCCTTTCACCGCAGCTGCCGGATGCGCCGGAGCTTTGGGCACCTCCAGGGCGCCCCGTGCCCWGCGCGGAGCGGGTCCCCATGGCCCTGCACGGCCGAGACCGCCCACACTCATCGCACTGGTGSCACCCGCAGCAGGCGGCGGTGACGGCAGCGACGGGCACGGGGACGGCGGCAGCGCCCGCGGCCGCATCCGGCCGCCGCTAACCAGGTTAGCGGGAGGGCTCCCTCGCTCAGCGCCTCCGCCGCCCCCTCCCGCCGCTTCCCGCCGGGATAAAAGGCGGCGCCGGCGCCGGGGCGGCCGCGGGAGCCGCAGCCGCTCGCCATGAGCTCCCTGGCCGCCGTGCGCGCCGGCTACGAGGCCTTCGAGCCCGGCGCCTACCTGCAGAACAACTACGTGCCGCCGCGCGCCGACTTCTCGTGCGAGCAGTGCGTGGTGCCCTGGAAGCTGCGCTGCCTGGCCGAGGCCTTCGCCGGCGGTGAGGGGCTGGGGGCGCGGACCCCCGGGCGGGGGGCTCTCCCGGTCCCGGTCCCCTGCCCGGCCCTGTCCTGGGCCCGGTGCCCAGCTCCGCCTCATCCCAGTCGTGGTCGCCAGCATCATCCCACCCCAGGACTTGTCCTGGTCCCCAGCCCGCTCCTTGTGCTGGTCCCTATCCGTATTCCCATCCCCATTCCCGTCCTTGTCCTGGTCCTGGTCCTCATCCATCCCACCCCAGGACTTGTCCTGGTCCCCATCCCATTCCTTGTGCTGGTCCCTATCCGTATTCCCATCCCCATTCCTGTCCTTGTCCTGGTTCTCTTTCCCTTCCCACCCCAGTCCTTGTCCTGGTCCCCATCCCTATTCCCATCCCCATCCCAGTCCCTGCTCTGGTCCTTGTCCCCACCCCAGTTCTTGTCCTGGTCCTCAGCATCATCCCACCGCTGTCCCTGCCCTGTTCCCCATCCCAGTCCCTGCCCTTCTCCCCATCCCATTCCCATTCCCATCCCATTCCCCCATTCTACCCTCTCCCCAGTTCTTGCTCTGACCCCCATCCCCACCCCATAGCCACCCACGAGGCTCTGGCACCTTCATCCCAGCATTAATGGGGACTGGGGGGGTGGGCACTAAACCCACCCCCCACCTCCCCGCCAGCCGTGGGTCCCGCGGGGCCCCGGCGTCCGGCTCCAACGGCCCCCCATGGCAGGCGAGATCGGGGGGCGCACGCTCATCGACGTGGGCTCGGGCCCCACCATCTACCAGCTGCTCAGCGCCTGCGACCACTTCGAGGAGATCGTGGCCACCGACTACCTGGCGGTGAACAGGGAGGAGCTGCGGCGCTGGGCGCGCGGCGAGCCCGGCACCTTCGACTGGAGCCCCTTCATCCGCCACGTCTGCAAGATCGAGGGGCGCGGGTAGGGGCGCGGGGACGGGGACGGGGCTGCCTGGGGACGTGGGGACACCCTGGCCCTGCTCCCGGCTCCAGTGGGGGGTGCAGAGCCACCGCATCCCTGCGGGATGGGAGCCTGGGGTCCCCATAGGTGCTGCGCTGGTGCCTACGGGATCCCAGCCCCAGGGGATCCCAGCCCCACATCCCTGCGGGATCCCAGCCCCAGGGGATCCCAGCCCCACATCCCTGCGGGATCCCAGCCCCACAGCCCCACAGATGTCACACCAATCCCTGTGCAACTGCAACCCTGCACACCCAAAGGATCCCAGCCCCACATCCCGCAGGTGCCGGGCTGATCCCATGGGATCGCTGCCCCACGGGATCCCTGCAGGCTCATGGCCCCACACGTGCCGCGCTCATCCTCTGGCTCACACCACCCCGTTCCCGGGACCACATCCCCAMCCCACACGCCCCCCCGGGGGCCCCCGCAGGGAGCACTGGCAGGACAAGGAGCGGCGGCTGCGCCAGCGGCTCCGGCGCATCCTGCCCATCGACGTGCACGAGCCGGAGCCGCTGGGCGCCCCGCTGCGCCCGCCGGCCGACGCGCTGCTCTCCGCCTTCTGCCTGGAGGCCGTGAGCCCCGACCGCGCCAGCTTCGCGCGCGCGCTGGCCCACGTGGGCTCCCTGCTGCGCCCGGGCGGCCACGCGCTGCTGCTCGGCGCCCTGGGCGAGTCCTTCTACCTGGCGGGCGCCGCGCGGCTGCCCGTGGTGCCGCTGAGCGAGGAGGACGTGCGCGGCGCGCTGGCCGCCGCCGGCTTCGCGCTGCGCGAGCTCCGCTCCTACCGCATGCCGCCCGCGCTGCAGACCGGCGTGGACGACGTCGCCGGCGTCTTCTTTGCCCACGCGCAGAAGCCGCCGCTGGCCTGAGCGGCCGCTGCCGAGGGACGAGGGTCCCCGGGGAAGGAAGCGCCTGAGCCGCCCCCCGCCGCCCCCCGGCTTCCGTGCCCGCTGCTCCCCGCGCTGCCCCAATAAACCTCGAGCTGCACCGCAGGGTGTGGGGGTGCAGTGGGGCAGAGATGGGGGGCACGGGGGGTGTGCAGTGGGGAGGGGTGTGTGGTGTGCAGTGGGGCAGAGAGGACGTGTGCAATGGGGCAGGTGTGGGAGTGTGCTAGGGAGTGTGTGTGTGTGCAATGGGGCAGGTGTTGGGTGTGCAATGGGGCAGTATAGGGGTGTGCAATGGGGCAGGTATAGGGGGGTGCAATGGGGCAGTATAGGGGTGTGCAATGGGACAGTATGGGGTGTGCAATGGGGTGGGTGCAGGGGGTGCAATGGGGCAGTATAGGGGTGTGCAATGGGGCAGGTGCAGGGTGTGCAATGGGGCAGGTGTAGGGGCTGCAATGGGGCAGTATAGGGGTGTGCAATGGGGCGAGTGTAGGGGGTGCAATGGGGCGGGTGCAGGGGGTGCAATGGGGCGGGTGCAGGGTGCACAGCGGGACACCCAACGGGGCAGACACAGGGCACACAGTGGGGCAGATATGGGGCACGCAGCGGGGCGGAGCCAGGCTGCGCCCTGGGGTGCAGGGTGGGCACCCACAGGGCGGACACGGGCTCCCAGTGGGTCGCTATGGGGCACCCCACGGCGTGGTCAGGGGTGGCAGCAGCRACTCGGGGGGCACAGGGAGAAGCCACCGCTTGGACCCTTTGCCTGGGGGGCACAAGGGGGGCCTGGGCCCCCAGCCCCAAGGCTGCACCCGCGGGCGCCGCGTGTCCCCGTGTCCCCGTGTCCCCGTTCCCGTCACCACCAGCAGCCGTTGCCACCTCGCGGCCGCCCGGCTCGGAGCAGGGGGCGACCGGGGGGTCTCGGGGCCGAGGAAGGGCAGGAGGAGGAGGAGGAGGAGGATGGGGGGATGCAGGCGGCTGCTGGCGCCATGGGGCGGGCTGTGGGGCCGGGGGGGGGTCCAGCCGCTGCCCCATGGCCGTGGGGCGCCCGGAGCTGGGGGGAGCCCCCGGGGCTGCCTCGTTCCCGGGGAGCGGCAGCGGGACCCGCTGGAGCCCAGGGATGAGAGAGGGACCCCCTCCCTATGGATAACAGAGGGGTCCCCACACCCTATGGATAACAGAGGGGTCCCCACACCCTATGGATAACAGGGACCCCCACACCCTATGGATAACAGAGGGGTCCCCACATCCTATGGATAAGAGGGGGATCCCTGCACCCTATGGACAAGGGCGGGTCCCCCCTCCCAGCACCCTATAGATAGGAGAGGGTCCCCCCAGCACGCGGACTACAACTCCCAGGAGGCCGCGCGCGCAGCGCCGCGCGGCGGCCAATAGCGCATGGCTTTGCTCCGCTGGCAAGGCTGCGCGCGGCGCCTTGGGAGCTGTAGGCGACGCCGCGCCGCCCGCGGAAGGGGGCGGGCTCGGTGGAACTACAACCCCCAGAATGCCGCGGGCCGGCGCGGGCCAATGAGGGGCGCGCGTGTTGGCGCGGCGCGCAGGCGCGTGGGGCCCGGCGGCCGGAGCTGCATGTGGAGGTCAGGGGTGCGGCGGCGGGAGAGAGGGCCGCGCGTGGGCTGCGGCCGGGCGGGTGCGCGGGGGGGGCCGGACCGGGACCGGACCGGGCTCGGAGGGGCCGAACCGGGGCTCGGAGGGGCCGGACTGGGACCGGAGGGGCCGAACCGGGGCTCGGAGGGGCCGGACCGGGGCTCGGAGGGGCCGGACCGGGGCCGAACCGGGGCTCGGAGAGGCCGGACCGGGCTCGGAGGGGACGGACCGGGACCGGACCGGGCTCGGAGGGGCCGGACCGGGGCCGAACCGGGGCTCGGAGAGGCCGGACCGGGGCTCGGAGGGGACGGACCGGGACCGGACCGGGCTCGGAGGGGCCGGACTGGGACCGGACGGGGCTCGGAGGGGCCGAACGGGGCCCGGAGGGGTCTCAGGAGCGCGGAAAAGCCCCGGGGGGCACGGCGGTATTTCCGTGCCGATCCTCGTCTCTGCAGGCACCAGTGCAGATTAATGCGCTTTTAACAAGCTCTGTGGTTTCTCTCTCTTTTTATTCTTCCCCTTTTTTTTTCCTTTGTGCTTTTTTTTTTTTTTTCTTTTTTTGACTCTTTCTCCTTGTTTTTCTTTGCAGGAGGGGTTCGCCGGAGGGGCCGGAGCTGCGCGCGAGCCATGGCCGCGAAGGTGTTCGAGAGCATCGGGAAGCTGGGCCTGGGCCTGGCCGTGGTGGGCGGCGTGGTCAATTCTGCCCTCTACAACGGTGAGCAGGGCACGGGCGCCTTCCCCGCTGCCTTTAACGCCCTTTCCGTAGTAATGTCCTTACCGCTTCCGTTGGCAGCGGTGCTGGGGAAGAGGGACGCGGTCGCTGTGCTGGCTGCAGAGGGCTGTGTGGCCGCTGCACGGTGTAGGTGGGAGGGTTGCGGAGTCCTTCGCTAGAAACTGCCCCTAAGACCCGCTCTGTAAAGCACGTTGGGAACGGTGGCCAAGTTTTCTCTTTTTTACTGGCAGTCTAGATCATTTCACTGGTCTCCTGCAGTAAAAGGCCTTAATTACAGAATCACACGGAGTATTTAAGGTTGGAGGGGAGCTCTCGGGCTCGCCCAGTCCAGCCCCACTGCTCTCGCAGCGCGTCCAGGCGGCGCACGCGTGCAGCGCTGCAGCCTTGCTTACGTGCCCTTTTGTTCTCCAGTTGACGCAGGCCACAGGGCAGTTATCTTCGACCGATTCCGTGGCGTCCAGGACGTGGTGGTGGGAGAAGGGACCCACTTCCTCATCCCCTGGGTACAGAAACCGATCATCTTTGACTGTCGATCTCGCCCACGGAACATTCCTGTCATCACTGGCAGCAAAGGTAAATGTCCTGGAGCGGGTGGCAGTGTCGCTTTGTAGAGTGCCTGCTGTGGCGGCCTGCGTGACATCGAGTTCTCCGCCTCGGGCAGCAGGGAGAAGGCGCTGAGCTGGTAACCAGCRCAGAGGGGAGAGCCGTGCCTCCACACACCTTGCGAGACTGTGTTCCGATTGTGTCCTGGGCCTTATCCTGATGGGGGGGTTGATTTCTTTGTAGTTGGTTGGACAAGGACGCGAGAAGAAGCTTTAGTGTGGTCATGTTATGATTTCTAACCTTGCAGAAAAGCACTGGGGAAGGATTTTAACTTCTGGATGTGGGGAACTGCTGTGTGCCCAGTCCACCAGGCCTGGCGTGGCATCAGGGCTGGTTTAAGTTGGTCCCCAAACAGATTAAGTAGCCCTTTATTCCCTTCTGTAGGCCTCCCTGGTAATGCAAAAGATCTGTCCCTACAGTGGGCAAATAATTCCCTGCTTCAGATGCAAACTGCCGCTTAAATCTTATCTGCGAGAAGGATTTGGGTCCCTGTGTGAAAGGGAGAGTAAAAATAACTTCCTTGTGCTGATAAAGCCAAAAGGTTTGTGCTTTCTCAGTTAGTTACTGTAGAGAGGGCAACTTCAGGAATCTCTGGTCTCCAGAGTTCACAGCTAAGCTCGTGCCTCCCTTTCCGTGTCCCTCTCCAGACCTACAGAACGTGAACATCACGTTGCGGATCTTGTTTAGACCAGTGACTGCCCAGCTTCCCCGGATTTTCACAAGCATTGGAGAAGACTATGATGAGCGTGTCCTGCCTTCAATCACAACTGAAATCCTGAAGTCCGTTGTGGTAAGGGCAGCGTGGCAGCTGCTGGGCTCCGTCTGCCCCCTTTTAGAGCAGCRAGAGACCTGCTGGTGTGTGAAACACCCAGTGCTCTGTCCCCCGGGCTCTAAACTGTATCCAGGAAAGCTGGCGACTGTTCTTACACTGCTCGGTTCTCTGCTGTTCTGGTGGCTTGGCTTGCCTGGTTAGCTTTTCCCTTYGGTGTGAAAGTCCTGGTTAAGAGGCTGGGATTTCCACTACTCCCATTTTCACAGCCTGAAGCTTTATTTGCTCAGTATCTCCGTTTTTGGAAGCATCTCCAGGGGACCACCAAATAATCACTCGGTGTCCAGCTCGTCKGCTTTTATGTTATGTGCTCAGATACACTGGGAAACCTCTCCTGCAGCTCATGTTTGTGTTTGAGTCATTTAGTCTGTCTCTTAGTTCACGTAAACAGGTAGCTTTATGGTTGCTAGCTGTGGGAGAGAAGTTGGATTAAGTCTGAGGTTTACAAGTGCAAAAACTTGCAGGATATGAAAAATATTGTTTCTGGAAAATTTATTGTCACTTTTTTGTCCCCCCCAATATCAGGCTCGCTTTGATGCTGGAGAATTGATCACTCAGAGAGAGCTGGTCTCGAGGCAAGTGAGTGAGGACCTCACGGAGAGAGCAGCAACCTTCGGCCTCATCCTAGATGATGTGTCCTTGGTAAGAGTTCTCCCTTTTTTTAAAAAAAAGATAAGAGTAGTAGAGTACAGAACCGGTGGGTGGCTAAAAGGGGGATGGAATTTTAGTCACACGGGAGATGTTTGCTCGGAGCTACATGGTTAGTGGCTCGTGTTGGTATGTTGGGTTTTGTCACTGGCTGTCGGTGACCTTCAGAAAGGCCTCGAAGGGCTCAGCTCTACCCTCTTCTTTACTGACCTCACTCTTGTAGGTCTTTGTAGTTGCAGTAGGGAGCGAGTGCTTTTTGTACCTGATGGATTAGGCTGCACATTGCCTGAGAGCAGCCCGCTGTTCCACGAGCGCCCTGAGACGCGGGGAGGAAGTATCCGGTCTAAGGAGCTTTAGTGAAAATCTACCCCTTTGGTAGAATCCTGCCAGCTTCCTACAACTATGGCTTTTCCTTGCTGAGTCTTGTTCTTCTTTCCTTCCCTCCCTACTCTCCCTTACAGCTTTGTAAGATAAATCTTTGTAAGTCTGGCTTGTACATGCACTGCTCTCTCTGGGATTTCCCTCAAAAGCCTGCTTAGAGGAAARGGAAACAAGCTCTTTCATTTGGATTTGATCACAGAGGAAGTCTCTGCAGGAAAGTGACTTTGTTTGCACTACATGTGAGCTTTGGCTCTTTGTGGCTGGTGCTTTGTACTGAACACGCTCCTTATGGAAATCTGTCTTTCCCTGCAACATCCCGGCAGGCTGGAGGTGTCCAAAGAGTCCAGGCTGAGAACACAAGTGCCTAAGTGAGCAGGAAAGGCCTAGAGTGGCTTTGTGGGTGACTGCTGCCCTGCCTGGCAGTGAACGGGCTCCCTCTGCAGGGTGTTTTCCTAGGCTGGAAGGACCATGTGCAGCATCTCCCAAGTTACTGGTCTTACCTGTCTGCTGAGCTGGAGCTAGGCTTGTGTTGTCTCCCTTCAGTGCATCCAATACCGTTCAGAATGGGATCGGAAAACCCTGCCCGTCCTAGGTCTCGTTACCCTTCAGTTCTTCTAGGGAATGCCAGTTTTCCATCTCCACTGCAGTTCAAATACAGGAGGGTTTCCTAGCACAYGGGAGCTGTGCTGTTCTCAGCGACGCAGCTGGAAACCATCGGGGTTATGGACTTTGTTGCTCGCTTTGTCCCACAGACACACCTGACCTTTGGCAAGGAGTTCACAGAGGCAGTTGAAATGAAGCAAGTGGCCCAGCAAGAAGCAGAGAGAGCCAGATTCATTGTGGAAAAGGTACCTTGTCCTCGTGCAAGACCGACTTGGAAACAGGTCCCGGTGTCTTCCTCCCAGTCTTGCTAGCAGGGAACACTTCAAATGTTGCTTGGAGTCAAAGTGGTGATATGGTGCTCCCTGCACGGCCCTGGCACGTGGCTGTTGGATAGATAAAGCCTAAATGTATGTGGGTTTAGGGAGAGGTGGTTGTTTTTAAGGTGAATTCTAAACCTCTTCTCCCTGGGGGGGAAAGATAGTCAAACAGAATGAGGCCTTAAAACAAAATCACCTTCTATTTTACTCTTGTTAAGCTTCTTATTGGGGAAGAAAAAAAGGCAGTATTGTGATGAAGTGGGAATTTATTCTTTTCATGTGATAACAGCATCTTTCTTCTCCTGCATTGTTCTTGTTTTCTCTGTTGCTCATTCCCCTCCTCGGTTGTCCTGTGCAGGCTGAACAGCAGAAGAAGGCAGCTGTCATCTCTGCTGAAGGAGACTCCAAGGCAGCTGAGCTCATTGCCAACTCGCTGGCCACCGCAGGCGATGGCCTGATCGAGCTGCGCAAGCTGGAGGCAGCTGAAGACATCGCTTACCAGCTCTCCCGGTCCCGCAACGTCACCTACCTGCCCTCCGGACAGTCAGTGCTCCTTCAGCTGCCCCAGTGAGCGCGGCTCTGCACCCATAGCTAGGTCACTTCTACCTACCGGATCAGCCCTTTCCAAAAGAATCATTGCAATTTCCTGATTGGGTAAAAAAGAGGAAATTAAAATCCAACCCCTTTTGAGTTGATCAAATAAAACTGAACACTCTTGACAACAAACCTGCATTCCTCCCATGTGTGGTCAGAGCAGTGACCATCCACTTGGGTTTGAGAATTGCCCTTTTCCAGGCAGTTTGAGCAGCAAGAGCAAAGCTGGGAAGTGTTTTATCTCTTGACTTCTGGGAGGAACAAGTACCCCAGGGGATTCCTGGCCTCCGGAGTGCTGAATCAGTCAGGTTTCACAGGGATGCATCAGTGCCTTCAGGAGGTTTGAGCCAGGGTCGTTAGACTTGCGTGTGCGGCACTAGGACAGGGATGTTCATGGCTCGCACTGCAGCACCGTTAGCACGAGGCCCACGTGGAGTGGGTTGTGGCTGCAGGGAACGGGGGCAGACATCCCCTTAAGCACTGGATGGAGAAGCTACTTTCTCTGCAGGAAATACTTCTCAATCCCGTGCTACAAGGGGGACACGTCCACCTCTCCCCCCACAATTTGCCGCATGCTGTTTGCTGTCGCTTGCCCTGTTGTGCAGCGTTGGTTATTTCACCAAGGTCGGTAMCTGGCAGCTGCTCTGTTCCAAATGGTGCCTTGGACAAAGAGGGGCTGATCCARCGCTCCGTGGCTCAAGCAGTCTGAGGTGGCCTGAATTCTCTGTTACATCCGTGCTCTTTATTTAGGGAATCTGAATAGCAAGGAGGATGTGATGGGTGAGATTGTATAACTAGCCTTCAATAAATGCCATGGTCCCAAGCCTRGTAGTGTGGATTTTTTGAAGGTTGGATCAGCACAGCAAGACCTTATGATTCTGCTRGATTATTTTCAAGTTGTGTAGCACACTCTTGCTCCAAACAACTTAAACCTTGAAATATAATTATTTTAGGCTGATTTCCTCACTTGCAGCAATGTAAGGCTAAGAAGACTTTGGCATGGGAGTGCTGGCTTGGTCACTTCACTTCCCAAGTGCTCTTTGGCTTTCTTTACCTTCACAGAGCCAGAATACATTCCGTAGGCACTTAAAGCCAGAAGACTTTCAGTTTTCTTCCCTGCATGGTTTGTGCTGTKTACTGCATGTACATATATTTTGCAGGGTTGCTGTTTGCTTCCCAACAGCGTGGTGTTGCCTCAGAAAAGGAGTGTTCTACCAGCCACCGGCTCTGGTGACTCTGAACCTACTGCCGGCTGTCAGAAGCCCTTGTGCTGGCCTGGCACCCTAATCCCCCTCTCCTGCAACCACGGTGCTTGTAGAGCCTCCCTGTCCCTTAGCAGTGCRGCCTCGAGCAGATGTCATCACCATCCTGAGGCTGTTGAACTGTGGGGAAGGCTTCTGTAAGCGGTGGGCTTGGCGTGTCAGCGCACAGCCACGCTGGGTTGCTGTCTGGCAAAAGGGAAAGACTTAGGCTGATTTTTTTTTTGCTGAGCAGGATATGTGCTTGGTGATGAGGTGCCTGAGCTTGCAAAGTRTTTTAAACAGCTGAGCACTCAGGTCCGTAACTCCCAAATAACTTCCAGACCTCTTCCCGCTACAGTGCTTTTGTTCTTTACTCTTCTAGTTTATTGCTTCAGATACYGTTTTAAGGAAGCTTCCACTTTTCTCCCAAGGTTCCTTTTAAAGCCCCTTGGTGTTCCCTGCGYTTCTCTGAGCTCCAGGCGCCAGGTGTTGGGCTCCACACAGTGGATGTGAAATCCTTTCTCAGCTTCTGTAGCTCTGCATTACTTCTGCCTCCAGCTTTGTTTTCAGTGGAGTGTGGAGCGTTTCCTGCTGCTTTTGCTGTTAGCCTCTCTGGAGAAGGTGTCTGAAGGCTCTAACAGTGGCTCCTGGGTCTGATTATTCACCATTTCCTTTAGCTTTTGGGTATAATTCTTTTCACAAATGTTCCCTGGCTGTTAACTGCACCGTTACCCTCGCGCTGCCTCGCTTAATGCCTAAAGCTGCCGTGAACTCATCAGACTTCAAAGCTGTTCCTGAAGCTGGAGCTGTCTTGGTGCATGCCAGCTGAACCTGTTGTTTATGCTGTGTTTATAGCTGTCCTTCAGCCTTGCACACCATGGGGACCCTCTACCTATCTGGCTCCAGACGGGGAAGACTGACCTTAAAATCAGGCCCTAGTTTGGTGTGGCCTGYGTAGGGTTACTGGGGGCGGAAAAGCAGAGCCTTTCTCTTGCTGGATGGCTGCTCTGAGCTATGCAAGGCTGAGCGGCGTCCCCACCAACTGGGTCAGGTGCTGTCTSACTCCCTGGTTTGGGGAAAAACAAAAAACCAACAGAAAAGAGTCAACATTGCATAGCAAAGGGTCATCCCCCTGGCTCTGCTGACCAAAGYGGGGCTGAAGGGATTAAAAGGTTGGGTGTTCCCTGCGTGCCAGGATGCTGGCCCTTCAGGGCCACGCAGGCAGGGAGCTCTTGCTGCTGTGCTTGTCGGGGCAATAGAAAGAGCTCCAGGCTGGGGTACGATTAAAGCAGACCGCCTGCGCCACTCCGACAAATAAGTCGTCCCCACCCTCTGTCTGGCTKCTTCTAGCCTTGTTGCTCTTAATAACCCAGTAAGCAAAACTTTCTCATGAAGGAGCCTCTACCTGGCATGGAGAAGCAAGAGAGGAGGTCAAGGCACGCGGCTTGTACTGAGGGCAAAGAGGCATTTGGTTACCACAGGTCTTCATCTGTCCTGCCAGAGACCCGACTGGATCTGCTCGGAATCAGGTCGGAGGCTTCTGATTGCTCCGCTGGCTTTGCCCCTGTTGTAAATGCTGCCTGCTCTTTGGGGCTCTCGTGGTTGACAGATGCTCCAAACTGCAGATCTGCCGCTTCACCTCACCCTGGAGACCGAGAGGGGCTGTCCTGTGCCTGGGGGGCACCCTGGCCACGAGGATGGAGCGCTCCGTGAGCACCATGCGCCACGGCTTCCCGCTGCAGCTCAAGGGAAGCCCTGCTCCCAGGTGGGAAGAGCTGGRTGATGCTATTGAAGGGCGGCAGAGGAACTTGGGATTCGTTTCTGTGAACAGAAAAGCCAGTGGGCCTGTGGTTTGGCTCTCGAGCCTGATTCCCACTGTCTAAAATGACACAAGATCCGACTGAAGCATTTCCTGCAGTCGGGCAAGCAGGAACAGATCTCTGCTCTGGAGGCTTTCTGATGTTCTGCAGGAATCACAGCCATGCTAAAACTTTTGCTTTTTTKGGGGGGCAGAATGCTTTCCGTGGTCATTTTCTCCACATTTTGACCACCTGCTTGCTAAAACACTTTGAACTCGGTCCATTGGACTCCCCCATCCAGTATTTTGAAATGGGTTTTCTCTGGAGGAAGGACAGATACAGTGTGGTGCATAAAGTGGCCAATTCCCCAGCAGGGCTGGGCCGTATTAGCAAGCTGCAAAGCGCACGCCCTTTCTTAAGCAACCCAGCTAAAAGGGCTCCAAAAGTTACTGAGAAAGCTTTGGCCCCAGTCTCTGCCTCAGTGCTCCTAGTCAGAAACCAGTTTCCCTCCGGAAGGCTTTTGCTCCCCGCAGCAGCTTCACAAGAGGCACTCCTGATTTTTCTCTGTCCCCCCGGATGGTGACGTTCAGCATCTGGGTGAAGGGGTGTTTGTGGGTCGCCGGTGAAGGCCGCAGCTTTGCTGCTAACCCCAGCGGGTTCCCATGGCCRCAAAGGTTGCCTGGGAAGAGGCGGACACCTTCGGAGCTCAGCCCGAGCCCGAAGCGGAGAGCAGCTGATCCCGGCCGGCCGGGCTGCGCTCCCGGCAGCAGCTCTGCTCTTTGCTGCCACGGAGGGTCATGGGGACCAAAGCGTGTCCCTCAGGCTCCCGGCGGGAACAGGGGAGCAGCGAGGTCACCCTACCCTTGGCAGAGAACAAGGGGTGGACAAGCACGAACACAAAAGCAGGTGAGGAAGGAAAGGTTTACAAAGGTTGTAAGTGGGCCTGCGATGCCCACTTGCCCCTGAATGCAGAACACGAGGCTATGGGGACCAGCTCTGGTGAAGGTCTGAGGGTAAGGGACAACGCGAGACCTACTGCAGCCCTCTGCTGCAAAGAGCTGCCAGGAGACCAGAGCAGCACTTGGTTGCCACCTTCACGCATCAAAGCTCTACAAGTGGAGGTGAAAACTCCGTCTKGTCCGTGATCCCCAAGAGGTGACGGGGTTTGGTTTGCTTGGCTTTTCCTGATGGGATGTTGCCTTGCTGCTTCTCCTTCCATTCACACTGGTGGCAAAGCTCAGCTCTGCACTACCTGCGGCAGCCAGGCCAGCCTGTTAGCAACATTCAGACCAGCCAAACAAGCTTTTGTTCATGRTAAACAAACAGGAAACTGCCTGATTTCCTCTGTGTGCTCGCACCCCTCCTCTCTCTCTCTCCCCCTTTTAATAGACATCCAACCAGCCTACCTGATTTGTGAAGAGGAGACTGAAAACCGGCACTGTGGAGCAGCTGTAACTTGGAGAGCGGCTGTCGCACAGAAATGCGCATCTGCTCCCTGGCAGTCGCTGATGCACCAGAGCTGGCGCTCTCCAGGTAAGGAAGCTCCCCAAATCTGTGATAATTTGTACCCTGCAGCAAGCTGGCAGCACRTCTCAAGTGGTTACAGCAAAGGGATAGGGAGGAGTTTCCTTATTGCTTCCTTTGTGCTGTTTATATCCAAGTGGATTGAGCAGACAATGTGTCCTGAAATGCAGAGGAGATGAGGGGGGAAAAACGCACTTACGGAAGTGGGTAAAAAGTTAGTACGGTCCTAAGCTAGGCTGGAGCTCAGCCAGGCTGGGCGAGGGGAGCATTTGAGGACTAGTGCCTCTCAGGGACACGTTCAGTTCAATTATCCTCGCCAGGCACTAAGCACTGGAGGCTGAGCCGTTCCTCACATGCCTGTTTTCCATCAGCAGAACTCAGCTGATTTCAGTGCAGCCACTCCTGACTTACACTGGTGCAAGTAAATCTCAGAGATGGGTAGCAGGGTGAGCGACGGGGACGTAAGCAAACCACAGCTAGGCAATGCAGGACGAACTTCCAGAGATGAAGCATCTGATGTCTTCAGGAAAATGCAACGGTACTTCTTTTAACCACATGCTCACCACAGCTATGCTTGATGGCTGTTCCTAGCCATCAAAAGCAACAACAAACAAATTCATGGAGAAGAGACCTGGCAGAGAAGGYGTTTATTCCTTGCCGAACTATTCTCCAGAAACGGGCGTTTATTTCTTGCTGAACACTTCTCCAGAAATGAGAGGAACTGGAGAGACCTGGAAGCCACCCACCTGAGTAAAAAGCATTGCCACAGTTACCAGCACAAAAGTGCAGCCAGTGGCTAAACTGGCTTTGCAATGAAGTCCAACTCCTGAAGCAGATATTATAAAGAGAGGTAACAGCATCAGCCTTTGAGATTTGTGTGAATGCGCCATGTTCTGTGGGAYGTTGCAAGGCATCAGTACCGCCT